TTATTTTGATATATCACAGTGAAAGATTTATCGTCCTCTTTTTTTTTTTTTTTTTTTTTTAAAAAAAAAAAAAAAAAAAAAAAAAAAAAAAAGGGTGAGCATTTAAAGCCAGGTGTGGTGAGGCATGCCTTTTGTCCCAGCACTCGTGGGGCAGAGGCAGGTGGATCTCTGAGTTCAAGGCTAGCCTGATCTACATAGGGAGTTCCAAGCCAGCTATGGCTACAGGGAAACTGTGTCTCAAAAATACCAAAAAAAAAAGGTGAGCGTTTAAAATACTTGTTTCAGTTCATTCTAATGTTGGGGATTGGGTGGGGGGGGGTTAACAAAATTGAGACTCTGGATTTCCCTATGGGAAGTTTGCTGAAATGTTGGATGAAAGAGCTAGCTGCCTGTGTTGTCCGTTTTGTTTTAGGTTCGTTACCGGGAGCGCATCACCATTCTTCGGGGGAATCATGAGAGCAGACAGATCACACAAGTTTATGGTTTCTACGATGAGTGTTTAAGAAAATATGGAAATGCCAATGTTTGGAAATATTTCACAGATCTTTTTGACTATCTTCCTCTCACTGCCTTGGTGGATGGGCAGGTTTGTGCATCTTAGAACTTGCTGCTGGTCTTAAATTTTTCTTGGCTATCTGGTGTTGAGCTGTATAGGGTGGGATCATGGGGATGGAAAATGAAATCCAGCCTTGAAGGTTGTTTCTTGATGAGTCTAGGACTTGTAAAGCACTGTCTGCTAGTCCTGATAGAGGTATGTGTGCACAAGGTTGTAAGAAGGTGGTCTGAGTCTGAAGACAGTGGATGCCATGGTGTTGGTTTATCAGGAAGAAGAGAATGGATACTCAGTAGTTGAGAGTGGGTGTTTGCAGTGGCCAGTTCTTGAGCGACAGACCTTGTTGAGGGACTCTGCTGTTGCCAATGCTTAAGGCTCCTGCCTTAAGCTTAGTCCAAGTATTTTAAGTTTGTTTTAAGGTGTAGTTAACATTTTTAATCACTTTTCAGATCTTCTGTCTACATGGTGGTCTTTCACCATCCATAGATACACTGGATCACATCAGAGCGCTTGATCGCCTACAAGAAGTTCCTCATGAGGTATGGTGTCTGTTTAATACATTCTCAGAAAACTTCAGGAAAAGGGAAAGAATGTTGAATTTTAACTTAGTTCATTATGTGTACTCTGTTTCTCCAAACAAGGTAAGATTAAGCCCTCTTTGTTAATCCCATTGTTCAGAAGAAGCTTAGAACTCCAGGACCTAGGTTATCTGCCTTTAAAAATCTGTCTGCTGGATGTGGTGGCCTATACTTTTAATCCCAACAGGCAAAGGCAGGTGGGTGGGTATCTATGAGATTGAGCCCAGCCTGGTCTACATAAGGGAGTTACAGTCAGCTGGGGCTATAGAGGGAAACAGTGTCTCAAAAAAACAATAACAAATCTGTCTTAGCTACTATTCCTTACTACCTAATATTGGAACTTGGATACACAGGTAGCTTGGGCCATGTTAACTGTTGGAAGTACTGTTAGGTTAGCTGTGCCTCATAGGAATTGTTCATCATTTCAGAGACTCTTTAGCTGTAGAGCTTATTGCTGCGTTTAGCAGACACAACTCAGAAAGTGGCTTTATAGAATGCTGTGTCTGAATTATCAAGTCAAGAATTTCCCATTTTTTGTAACTTGAACCTGCTTTCTAGGGTCCAATGTGTGACTTACTGTGGTCAGATCCAGATGATCGTGGTGGATGGGGTATATCTCCTCGAGGAGCTGGTTACACCTTTGGCCAAGATATTTCTGAGACATTTAATCATGCCAATGGCCTCACGTTGGTGTCCAGAGCTCACCAGCTGGTGATGGAGGTATGTTCTGTTCTTTGAAGTACAATTTACCTTTTAGTAACTGAAGGAAAGGGGTTTTACATTAATGCTGTTAGGGAAACATTCTATATATTCCTTGTAGAGAGTTTGCCACTATAGCTGGAGCCTTTCCAGTAGATGAACTCTGAAATTAAAATCAAACTTGTGGTATATATTTAATGTATTTTCAGAGAATTCTGAATGACTGGGAAGGACTTGTGACTTGATGAGAGAGGGTAAGATGTAGGGAGATAGAGAGGGGTGTGATATTTTACTTTTTTTTCCTTTTTTTTTTTTTTTTTTTTTTGAAGCAGGGTCTCCCTGTAAGCCCCAGCTGTCCTGGAACTCACTGTGTAGACCAGGCTGGCCTTGAACTCACAGAGATCCACCTGCCTCTGCCTCCCAAGTGCTGGGACTACAGGTGTGCGCCACCACGACCCACGATATTTTACATTTTTAAAGTTTTGTATATTTAGCATGTATACTTATGTATACATTGAAGTGGTCCTTTGGATCATTGGATTATAGGTAATTTGAAAGAAAAAAAACTAAAGGTTTCTTCTGCTAGGGTTTCTTTTTTTAATTTATGTGTATAGGTGTTTTGCCTGCATGTTTATAACTGTGTCATATGTGCAGTGCCTAAGGAGGCCAGAAGAAGGCATCAAATCCCCTGGAACTAGGGTAACAGACAGTTGTTAGGCACAGTGTGGGTACTGGGAACCAAACCCCGGTCCTCTGCAAGAGCAGTCAGTGCTTTTAAACGCTGAGCTGTCTCTGTAGCGCTGATTCTGCAAGGGTTCTTAACATGAAACATCCATTACCACCATACTCTTAGAATTAGAATCTCATGCTTTGACAAGATGGCTCAGCAGGTCAAGGCACTTGATGCTGAACCTGGTGACCTGAGTTTGATCCCTGGGTCCCACCTGGTGGAAGGAGAGAACTGACTTCTGAAAATTGTCATTTTACCTCCACACTTAGCATGTGGTAGTGTTGTACCACATGTAGCATCTCAAGTTAGAGCAGAGTCCGGGTTTCTGTTTCCCGTAGTCCTTTGAGAGCGTGCCCACAGGATCTTGGGTCCTTGGACTTTTATGTGGATTCCACTGCCTTCTGTAACAATGCACTGCAGCCTAAGCCTTTTTAAGTTTGTTTTTTAATGCAAAAAAAAAAAAAAGTTTTTTGGTTTAGAGCCAGGTGGATGGATACATGTGTATTTTATAGGTTATACAAAACACAGAAAATTAGGCCCCTTTGTGGGAAGCTATTGTTTTTCTCTCTTGAATGCAGTCATATTTATTTGTGTATGTGAGTAAATAAAAGTATTCTGCCTTTTCCTTACAGGGCTATAACTGGTGCCATGACCGGAATGTAGTAACAATTTTCAGTGCTCCAAACTATTGCTATCGTTGTGGTAACCAGGCTGCAATCATGGAGCTTGATGATACTCTAAAATACTCTTTGTAAGTATTTACACCCAAGCCAGTACTGAATAATCAGTTTCAATAGATGTAAGTGTTCTGGCTCTTGTTAAGTCAGATTACAACCCAGCTTCAAGTTTTCTTTGGAACAGACCTACACATCAACAGAAATTAACTTACCTGATATATAGCCCCATACAAATTACTAGGATTTCAACTTCTAAACCCATGTTTTTATTACGGACTTAATAAGAAACCAAACCAGTATGTTAGACACTTAAATTTACTGAGTAGAACCCTTCTTTAAATCTTAGAAGGTGCCCCATTGTATAAAAATAGCCTCTCTGACTAAAAGTTGTCTTGGCTTTTTGAAGGGAGTGAAGTTAAAAGACCCTCACGAGTGAAGTGTGGCACATGCCTTTAATCACTTAAGAGGCTGGAGTATCTCTTGCATTCAAGGCTAGCCCGGGTTGCACAATGAGACCTTGTCTCAAATAAAACCCAAAAGACCCTCATAAGCTGGGCGTGGTAGTTGAAGCCTGCAATCCTCACACTTCGGAGGCAGAGGCCAGAGGATAGGTGCCTATTGTTCTTTCTGTTGCTGTGATAGCAACACAGGGGAGGGAAGGGTTTATTCAACTTTGAATTCTAAGTTACAGTCCGTCAAAGCAGCTAGTCATATGCCATCTACAGTTGAGCATAGAGAGAAGTAAACATTTGCATCCTTGCTTCTGCTTCTGCTCAGCTGATTTTCTTCATTCTTACACAGTTCAGGACCCTCTGCCCAGGCACTGGTACTGTGCACAGTTCACTGGGTCTTCCTACTTCAGTTATGAACTGATGTTTTTAACAAGACAGTTAACCACTGACATGTCCCCACAGGACAGCCTGATCCAGACAGTTGCTCAGTTGAAACTCTTCCAGGTGATTCTGTGCACGCACACAAGCTCTCAAGTGCATGCACACACATGCACAGAGGACATTTATGATTAAATGCATGATTCTGCTGCAGTAGGTTTCTTTCTTCATTTGGTTGGTTTTGGTTTATTTTGAGACAGGCTCTTGCCTTGTATTTGTAGTCTGAGGTTGTACAGAACTGTGAGCCTTCTGCCTCAGCCTCCCATATGCTCAGATTATAGTTGTGCCCCACCATGCCTAGCTCTGAAGTAGAATTCTGTTAAGACATTAAGACTGAAATCGGATAGGAAAAAAAATGTAGAGTTTGAAAAATTGAAGGTCTTAATTTTGATAAATACATGGATGACTTGGGATGGAGACGGTGAATCTTTCTTGTTTTTCAGCTTGCAGTTTGACCCAGCACCTCGCAGAGGTGAGCCACATGTTACTCGTCGTACCCCAGACTACTTCCTGTAATGGAATTTTAAACTTGTACAGTATTGCCACGAACCGTATATTGACCTAATGGAAATGGGAAGAGCAACAGTAACTCCAAAGTGTCAGAAAATAGTTAACGTTCAAAAAACTTGTTTTCACACGGACCAAAAGATGTGCCATATAAAAATACAAAGCCTCTTGTCATCAACAGCCGTGACCACTTTAGAATGAACCAGTTCATTGCATGCTGAAGCGACATTGTTGGTCAAGAAACCAGTTTCTGGCATAACGCTGTTTGTAGTTACTTTTGCTTTCTCTGAGAGACTGCAGATAATAAGATGTAAACAGTAACACCTCGTGAGTACAGTTTAACTTCATTTAGCTGTAGCTTTACTCAGCATGACTGTAGATAAGGATAGCAGCAATCATTGGAGCTTAAATAAGTACCAAGGCCCCCCCTCTTTGTTCTGTTTATTTTCAGGGATACCATTTAATTTAATTGTATGATCTGTCTGCACTCAGTTTATCCCTTTCTCAGATCTCAGCCCCATGTTCGTTATTGTCAGAAAACCTGGTGAGTTGTTTTGAACAGAACTGTTTCCCCTCCTGTAAGATGATGTCACTGCACAAGAGCACTGCGGTGTTTTTCATAATAAACCTGTGAACTAAGAAAGAAGGTCAGATTTAATTTTGTCAGTGGGCAAGACTGGTGCTGTTCATTCAAAAGATGAAGCAATTGATCCACTTTGGAATTTGTAGAATTCCAGGTTAAAAAAATAAAAATCAAAGCCACTGTATAACCTCTCTGGCAACTCCTTGGCGTTCTTGACGAGAACTCCGAGACTCATCTGTATCACATATACTGTGATCTGTCCTGTTGCTGGTCTGCTCCTATAAGCAAGGAGATCTCTGCTGCTTCAGTGCGACTTCATTGTTAAACCATAGAACGCGAGAGTGAAATTTTTAGGGTTTTATTTAAAATGGCATGTTTTCAGGTAGAGCTTAACAAATGATGTGTCTAATTAGTATAGTTTCTGGTTATAAATATATTGCTGTGTATATTAATGAACTCTTTGAAATGATTGACAGATTGGTAAGTTCTTAACAAATATTTGTACATTACTTGTCAAATCATGTGATCTTAAGAGTTAAATTTGTCTCAGATAAGAAAGCTGTTAGAGCATTAGCCTGTGTTAAGTTCTTTAAGTGGTAATCAGTGAAACCAAATGGAAAGCAATTGTTGGATCATGGTTTCGTGTTTTGTCCCAGAGAAAGAAGTGGCACTTGACGTGCTAGTGCTCAACATTGAATGAATTTTCCCTTCTTTTATTCTCTGAGTAGCATTGAAAATGAAGACAGTTCTTCAGTAGGAACTGAATATTTGATATTTTAAGCTACCTGGGTAAACTTCAGGATGCGCAATCATTATTTGTGTGAGTGCAGTAAATAAATGTTTCCTTGCTTTGTACTGTGTTGAATTTGGAACCAAAAGAGAAGTTCTGACATTCCCCTTGGTAAAGAAGCTGTCTGGTTTAATGAGTTCATTGTCCAACTCTGAAGGCCCTTAGTTTTTCCACTTGTCTCCATGCTAATCTGCTTTCTAAAAAATACATCCTTGGTTAGCATGGTGGTGCATACCCTTAATCCCAGGACTTGGGAGGCAGACGAAGGCAGATCTCTTGAGATTTTGAGGACAGCCTGGACTACATACCCTGCATTAAAAAAAAAAAAAAAAAGCACCTCCCTCCACCCCCACCCCTGTCTTTTTTATTTATTTATTTTGTTTTGTCTTACTGGCCAAACAAATAGCATCTACATACAGGGCCCCCCGCCCTGTATCTTAAATCTCATTTTGGGGATGAGGTTTTGTAGTAGGAAGGACAGAGGCAAGGCAGCAGGGTCTGACTGGGTGGTCTGAAACTTCTTACTTTAGACCAAGCTGGCCTTGTATTAATGAGTGATCTGCTTCCATGTGCCACCATGCCTGACTTATAATGTATGGTACTTTAAATCCAATATCTGTGTCATCTGGACACCCACCAGCTGCCCTGTAGGTCCTGTGAGAAAAGAATTGGCTTTAAAGAGTCCCTTTCTTAATAGTTGATATATATCATCTATGTACAAATTCTCAGAAGGGGGCTTTTGGCAAAAATTACTTTTTGGGGCGGGGGGGCTTTTTGAGACAGGGTCTCCCTGTAGCCCCAGCTGTCCTGGAACTCACTATGTAGACCAGGCTGGCCTTGAACTCACAGAGATCCGTCTGCCTCTACCTCCCGAGTGCTGGGATCAGAGGTGTGCGCCACCACGCCCAGCTGAGATATTTTTTTTTTTAAGTTAGTTAAAAAAAGTTTTTTTTAAAAAAAAATCTCAAATGGAAGAGACTTACTTGGCTTCTTATATAAACTAGAAAGTGTTAACATTTTAACCTGCTTATGGAATGGGTAAGAATGTGTAAATTCAGTAACTTCTAAAGATCTGTAATTGTGGTTGGATGAAAATTAGTAAGGTGAAAAGATCTCGGTGGGTAGCTTTTTCCATAATACATTTTTAAAGTTTCTAAGAACAAAGACTGGTCAAGAATGAGTGTTAAACAGGTGTGGTAACACAAGCATTTAATCCTACACTTGGGGAGGGGGACAGGGTAGGCAGGCCTCAATGGACCAACCAGGGCTATGTAGTTGCACCCTGTCTCAAAAACAATCACTATTATGGGTTGGGGTGTGTGTGTAGAACACTTGGCCTAGCATATGCAAAGCCCTGGTTTCCATCTCTAGCACTGAAAAAGAGAGAACAAGAGAGAGAGAATGCATGTTCAGAAGTTTGCATTGGGGCCAGTAAGGTGTCCCAGCAAGTTGTCCTCTAACCTCCAAATACTTGCCATGGCATGGACACACACATACACAACTAATATAATTTAAAAAAAATTTTTTTTTTAGGGCCTGGAGAGAGGGTTAAGCAGTCTAGAGCATGGAGTGCTCTTATAGAGGACCCAAGCTCAGTTTCCAGCACCCACAAGTGGCAGTTCTCAACTGCCTGTAACTCCAGCTCCAAGTAGATCCAGTGCTTTGACTTGGCCACCTTGGGAACCTATACTCAAATGCACATACCTACGCATAGAGAAGCACATACACAATGAAAAGATACGTCTTTAAAGTTAAAAAAAAAATGGAACTAAATACATACAGTATTTAAGCAAATTTAATGCATATTGTTTTTATTTTTAAGGTGATATATAAAAAAAAATGCTGTTAAGGGAGTACCGGGTAATGTTCTGGTACACATGTACATTGTGTAATTTTTTAAAAAAATATTTAGTATTTTGATTTTATGTGTATGTGTGTATTACCTGCATGTGTTTTAAGTGCACCTGTATTGTGCAGTGCCTCTGGAGGTCAGGAGAGGGCATTGGATCCCCTGAAACTGGAGTCATGACACATGGTTGTTAGCTGCCATGTGGGTGCTGAGCATTGAACCCGGATCCTCTTCAAAAACAACCAGTGCTCTTAACCACTGACCCATCTCTCCAGCCCCAACATTGTGTAATATTTAAATCAGGTTAAGTGGACCTCAAACATCTATCATTTAGGGTGGAAGTTTTGAAAGTCCTGGCTTTTTGAAGTGCACAGTACAGTACTGATATCCAGAGTTTCCTGCTTCCATTTAATTATCGGTTCCCTTTCACCACCTTCCTTACTATGCACAAAGGCTTGTCTTGGCTGCATTTTTTAAAAAATTTATTTTGGTCTTTTTGAGACAGGGTTTCCCTGTAGCTCTAGCTGGCCTGGAACTCATATGTAGACCAGGCTGGCCTTAAACTCCTGCCTCTGTCTCCCAAGTGCTGGGATTAAAGGCATGTGCCACCATGCCCAGCTTAGATTTGTTTTGTTTTGGTTTTTTTTTTTTTGTCTTTGAGACAGGGTCTCCCTGTAGCCCCAGCTGGCCTAGAACTCACTGCGTAGACCAGGCTGGCCTTGAACTCACAGAGATCTGCCTGCCTCTGCCTCCCGAGTGCTGGGATTAAAGGCGTGCGCCACCACACCCAGCCAGTTTAGATTTTTTATTTTTAAATGTGTTATCTGTGTGGTTCCCAAGGACGCCAGAAGAGGGCCTCCAATTCCCTAGAGCTAGAGTTACAGGTGTTTCAGGATATGGGTGCTTAAAACTGAGCTTTTGCCCTCTGAAAGAGCAGCAAGCATTCCTAACAGCTGAGCCATCTCTCCAGCCCTTCTTGACTGCATATTAAGTAGGCATTTTAGCCATGAACCCTGATCCTCTGAGCACTGAAATTACCAGCATGAATCACCATGCCTTGCTCTTTGATTTTTGTTTATGGTCCTGAGTTACATTTACTGGTTTTTCACATGGTGAAAATGCATCCCTGCATTAAGCCTGATTATGTGAAATGTCTTTTAAAGAGACAGGGTCTCCCTGTAGTCCCAGCAGGCTTGGAACTTGCTATGTAGACCAGGCTGGCCTTGAACTCGGAGATCTGCCTTCCAAGTGCTGGGATTAAAGGCATGCGCCACCACGCCCAGTGTGAACTTTTTTTTTTTTAATGTGTATGTCTGTATTGCCTGCATGTATGTACGTAAGTGCACCTGTGTCGTTTTGCAATGCCTGTGGAGGTCAGAAGAGGCTGTTGGATCCCTTGGGACTGGAGTTACAGACAGTTGTTAGCTGCCATGTGGGTGCTGGGATTCAAATCCAGGTCTTCAGCAAGAACAACCAGTGTTCTTAACCGCTGACCCATCTCTCCAGCCCCATGAACTATCTTTTAAAAAACATTTTATTTTCACTTTATGAGTGTATGGCCTGTATGTGTTGTGCAGTGCTCACAGAGGTCAGAGGAGGGCATCAGATCCATTGGAACTGGAGTTGAGGATGTTATTAGCTGTCATGTGGGTTCTGGGAACTGAACCCAGGTCATCTTCAAGAGCAGCCTGTGAGAATTTTTGTCGAGGTTATTGGTCTTTTGTTTTGTGGTTCCCCTCCTTTGTTTTTTCTTTTTTGGGTTGTGTCCTTATCAGAGTTTGGAACCAGCATAATTGCTTCAAGGAGTAACCAAAGGCAAGCCCTTCTATGTATGGAATGATCTGAGGAAGTTACCCACTAGTATCACTTTATGTTCAATAGTGTTTTATAAAATCGGGTACACCAGTGTTCAATGTGTTTATTTACAATCTCTTTTGAGTGGTGTTTTTTTTTTGTTTTTTTTGTTTTTTTTTTTTGGTCTTTCTGAGACAGGGTCTCCCTGTAGCCCCAGCTGTCCTGGAACTCACTATGTAGACCAGGTTGGCCTTGAACTCACAGAGATCTGCCTGCCTCTGCCTCCTGAGTGCTGGGACCACAGGCGTGCGCCACCATGCCCGGCTTTGTTGTTTTTTTTTTTTAAACTTGTTATTTTTTTATTTTGCTTGGCACGGTGGCACACGCCTTTAATCCTAACACTTGGAGGCAGAGGCAGATCTCTGTGAGATAAAGACCAGTCTGGTCTACATAGTTAAGTTCTAGGCCAGCTGGGGCTACAGGGGTACCTGTATTCCAAGTGTTTGAGTGGGGTACATGTGTGCCACATCACGCATGTGAAGGTTAGAGGACAACTTGTAAGGGTCAGTTCTCAGGGCTGGAGAGATGGCTCAGTGGTTAAGAGTCCCGGCTGTTCTTGCAGAAGACCTAGGTTTGAATCCCAGCACCCACAACTGTCTGTAACTCCAGCTCTTTGCTCCACTATGTGTGTCCTGGGATTAAGCAGGTCAGCAGGCTTAACAGCAAGTGCTTTATCTCCCCACTATCAATTTTCTTAATCTATTTCTCCCCTTACCAATATATTGTAATAATCTTTGTTAGTTTCTAAGTATGGCTTGAAGTCTGCATTGTCAGATTAAGAGTATGGGTGTTCCATCTTGCATCTGAACTACAAGTGCTTAGAATCTTGTTGGGATTTACTTTTATTTATTGGGTGGGTGGGTGGTGGGGTCACCTGTGCCATAGCATGTATTTGAAGGTTAGAAGACAACTTGTGCAATTCTGTTCTCCATGATGTGGGTCCCAGGAATCAAATTCAGGTCAAAGAGCCATCTGCCTGGCCCTCAGATCTTAGTGGGGTTTTTTTTTTTTTTTTTGGCGGGGTGGGGAGAGTTTGTTGTTTTGGTGTTTGTCTCACTGGGTAGTCCTGGCTGTCCTGGAACACCTATGTAGACCAGGCTGGCCTCAAACTCACAGAGATCTGCCTGCTCTGCCTCTTGAGTGCTGGGATTAATTGTGTGTGCCACCATGCCTAGGCCTTTGTAGGTCTTTTGAATTTTTCCAAGTTCATCTCATCCTGGAAGGGATGGAGGCTATGCTGTAAATCAGGAGCATGTAGGTTTTTCAAATGGTTTGCTTAAGCCACCTCTTAGAAACAGACATTTCTGTTGTCAGCCTGAGTGGCAGGTGGCCTGCTGCATTTGGTGCATCAGAAGACTAAGT